TTTATGGAAAATATTTTTTGCCGTTTAAAAGCTCGTTCGGTACTCTACAAAACTGGCTATAGAAGGGTTTCATTTGAAGAGATACTTTTGCATGAAATTAGAGTTTTATCAACGGCACTGGAGGAAAAAGCGTCTTTTAATGTAATAGCATTACTCGATGATAAAATCTTCCGAGAAATCCAAAACTTCAGCGAAAAAAGTCATTCTTATAGCATTAATAGAGTGTGAAAAGCTGCGTCGAATGGCGTTTCAACGAAATTTCTAGTGCTTAAACTTTCTGAGATAATTAAACAAAAAACTATGTCAAAAATCAGTCACAACTTTCCATTTGGACAAGCCAAACAGCGTAGAAGATCTATGATGAAAGAAGACGACACACTATGAAAATGAAAGATAACTCATATAGATCTAAAGAAACAAGATAAGAGATGGAGTTTGAATCAACTGAAAAACAAAATGAACTTTATATGGAAGATACAAATCGATGTTGTAATCTTCACTTTTGCTCTGTAGTAATCAACTTGCCGAAATAAAATTAATTTTTTAAGTAATTACCTTATTTGAAAGAAAAAATAGTACATTTTGATTTATTTTTTCAATCATTTTGTATGGGAACAAAAGATTGTTTTGTCCACAAATAATTCCAAGTGTTTATACTATTGACAGCAATAAATTTGAGCATGAAAAAATTCTCGCAAAATAAATACCTCGAAAATTGTTCAATGACTATGATTTAATTAATAACGATGAAAAATACTTCAAATTGAGCCGGAAACAACGTCATCGGGAATCACTATTTCTATTCAACCGATCTAGTTACAACTAATCCAAACATCAAATTTCAAAAGAAAGCGAAATTCGAACCAATCATAGAACAAAAGACAAAAAACCTTGATGAAGTAACTTTGTAAGCCATGATTGAGAATGCTTGAAAGAAGTTTCGAACTGTGTAAAAAAACAGACTCTATTCAGTTCTCTAAATACAGTTTTCTTTAGTGTTTGTCATGCTCTTTCTAATAAAAAAAAAACTTAGCTTTCCATCTTCTAAAATGGCTGAGTTGTGTGACTCAACATTTTTCCAAAGACTGTTCGCATCGATTAATAGATCATTTAATTACTTTTCAGTGTTACTCTTAGATATCAATAGGACGTAACTTTTCGTCTGATCTCAATCGAACAACACTTTGGTTCTCATTTAGAACTAAGCGAAGATGTTGAGTTTAGAATTATTCTTCACTGCAATGCATAAACTCGCAAGACTCGCTACTACATTAGGATTTGTTGATGTTTCCAATTTAGATCCCATAATATAAACTTTTCATACTACATTTAGCGACTTACTTCTAGCGCAACTTCAATCGATCAATAAAACAGATGTCCTTCCAAACAATGATTTACTAAGTAACTAATGTGTCTCTCTGAGTTCAACATATAAATGGCAACATTTTGACTATCGAACATTTCATTTTTAGTACATACATCAAATTGATTAATTCTAACAAAAAAAAAATGGTTATTAGCGATAGTTCACAAATAAGTATTTCTATTAGAAATGCTGTTCATCATTTAAAACAACTCGGTAACTCTAAATAATTATTTTAAATATTTTTATTTTGTATAAAAAAAAAAAGGTGAATCATTTCAAATAAATATATTTACTGAAACGGATTTAAATAATATCGATTATGTTGCTGATACACTTATGGCATTGGTATATTGTATAATAATTTAATTATTTGAATTAAAAATTTTTTTTTTTTAGGAAAAAGAAATTATAAAATTATATGTCGATTATGAAACAGAATCGATTGAATCGAGTCGACTTCGTCATCGATTAAAAATTTTGCCAACTACAATTAAAAATGAAATTCAAGGTAAGAAAAAAAAAACAAACAAATATCTGTTTCATTCATCTTTTTTCTTTCATTATCATAGCGGCTGTTAATATGGCAAGAGAATCTAATGTAAGTGTTATTCAAACATTACAAAAAGAACTCGATACACATCTTGAAAAAGTACGTGAATATACTGATCAAGATAAACAATTGACTGCTGCTATCAATGGATTACAGTAAGAAAATAATAAATAAGTTGTTTTTTTTTTTGCTATTTTTCATATTGAAGAGCAGAGAAAAATGCATTACAACAACAATATGATACGACAATTACTGAAGTTAACCAACGTGTATCTGATAAAGCAACGTTACAAATTACTTTAAATGAAACCAGAGATACTGTTCGAGAAACAAATCAACATGTAAGTTATGATCATTGAAATGAATTTTGTGAGATACGACCGACAAGGAGAGTCGAAGTATACACGATAGAAATTTGCATTTAACCTCGGTCCAACAGACCATATATAAATAATGACTCTTTACAATATACGAACTAATTCTTTATTGTATTTCTGTAGGATTAAGTAAACAAAAAGTGTTAATTCCTACAAGGATTGTACTAGTGACGTTTTAATGACAAATTGATTTTTTTTTTGTAGAAAGAGATAATATTTTCTTTGCATATCAGATTCAATCAATACAAAATTCAACACCAGATTAGATCAATTAACACTTGAATGAAACTTTATGAATTGAAATATTTAGCAACCCGTATTTCAAATACATCATATTAAAAAAACTTTTACATATTCAGAAAGTCCTCGAAATTTTCTATTCATTTTGTGTATGTATGTGTTAGTTTATACTCATGTACTGCCGAAATATATTGAGTATAATGAAGATACTTTCATCATTATAGAATCATCTTTTTAAAAATGTAGTTATTTTGTATTTATTTGTTGCAATGAATAAATGGAAGATAATAGGTAAGTATATAGGGTAATAGACAATATTAAATTCTATTGGAATATATGCTTACTTTGTTTTTTTTTTAAAAGGCTCATTCTATTATGATGAAAAATTTTTAAAACTATTTTTGATGATAGTGGCGATAGGAAAATCCGACTGCTCTCCGCACATATAATTGGATATGGTTTTTTTTTATAATGGCGATATATTTAAAATATGAATTGCAAAATTTTTTCCCTGGCATATATGGGAGGAAGTTTTGAATCCAATCTTGTTGAAGTTTCACCATAGATGTAGTCCGTGCTGTAGAGCCTATTCTGAAGTTTTCGATTTTTCTTTCTCCTATGATTTAAGAGATATTCTCTTATTATTTTTTAATTAATTACTAGTCAGTTAAAAGAACCTATTCAGAAAATAGACTTTGTAAAGAATTAAAGTTAAATAAAAGGTGGATATGTCTCCATTTGCCCATATATTAGATCATTGTCCTTAAATATTCACATAAAAAATGGATTTCAGTGACATTAAAACCAGGACAAAAAACTAACTCGTGTCAGTCATTGTAACTAAATACATCTGTAATGTTAGTTCATCATTTGAATTTTAAACAAAGATTAAAATAGAAAATTTATTACCTAACATAAAACATATTATTGAAGTGTTTTCTTTTTTTATGAATTTAATCTAATTTCAACAAAAGATTGAATATTATTATTCAAATTATTTGTTTTTCTTTTATCATAGACATTTGATTT